TAGCCAATGTCAACAAGAAGTTGAGTAAAGATCGATCATTAAAAGTAGAGTATGAAAAGATAGTTAAAGATCAGCTTGCCAATGGCATCGTAGAAAAAGCCCCAGAAAAGCCAGCAGGAAAACGTACATATTACATGCCTCACAAGCCTGTGATCAGGGAAAACGCAACAACAACAACAACAACAAAGATCAGAATGGTTTTTGATGTCAGCGCTAAACCAGCCCCATTGGCTAACAGTATTAACGAATGTATGTTCACTGGACCGTCCTTGCAACCACTACTTTGGGACATCTTGATCAGAGCGCGTATGACACCAAATCTACTTCTGGCAGATATCCAGAAAGCCTTTTTGCAAATTGGTGTTAAGGAAACGGACAGAGATGCTTTTCGATTCCTGTTCGAAATCGATGGAAAAGAGGAACATTTCCGGTTTGCAAGATTACCATTCGGCGTCGAAGCCAGTCCCTTTCTGCTTGGAGCAACGTTGGGATACCACCTTGAGCAACAGCCGACAAGATTTGAGGAAACTGTGACAGCTCTTAAAGAGAATACATATGTTGATAACATCATGAAAACTGGAAGCGATACTGACGACTTGAGGAAATTTAAAGAAGAAAGCTCCATAATTCTTGAGGATGCCAAATTCCCAATCCACAAGTGGGAATCAAACATCGCGTGCCTCGAAGACGAAAACATGCCAAACCCAAGTAAAATACTCGGACACGTCTGGGATAAACAAGAAGATACATTAGAATTCGAAGCAGCAACCATGCCTGAGAACCAACCAGTAACAAAGAGGAGCATTTTGAGTCGGTTAGGAAGAGTCTACGATCCTTTGGGAATGGTATCGCCTACCATGGCTGAGGGTAAGCACATATTTCGAGATGCCTGTGAAGAAAAAAAAGGTTGGAGCGCTGAAGTGTCAGAATCCTTGAAAAGAGAGTGGATCAAGTGGAACAATCAAATGAAGAATGTTAAAGTTCCTAGAGCTATAACTAAGAAATCGGACGTGATTGAAGGCATTCAACTCCATTTGTTTACAGATGCTAGTAACCTTGCTTGCTGTGCAGCAACAGTCCCAGTGGTAGAGCACAAACCAGGAACTGTGAAAGGTCTGTTAACGTCCAAATCTCGAATTTCCAAAAAGAACACCACAATACCGAGGTTGGAACTTGTGAGTGGTCAAATGGCGGCGAACATGGCAAGGAATTTATATCATGCGCTACTGCGATTGCCTGTTAAGTCTATCATCATCTGGGTGGACAGTATGGTCGCGCTTTACTGGTTAAGTAACCCTGGAAAGCCTTGGAAGACTTTCGTCGCTAATAGAGTTAAGAAGATAGCAGAAATTACCAACGAGATTGGTTTGGTGTGGAAGTATTGTCCATCAAGTGAGAATTTGGCGGATCTAGGCAGCAGGGGAGCTACAATTGAGAAAATGGTAAAAGACGGATGGTTCACTGGTCCTGAGTGGTTGTTACATGTAGAACAGTGGCCCAAACAACCCCAGCTTAAAGTAACTACACACGTGAGCGAAGAGAGCAAACCCAGCATGGTGGAGGTCTTTTTTACCAAAGAACGAGAGCCTGATGAATGGGATGCGCTGCTGGAAAGAAGTTCGTATTGGCGCACATTAAGAGTTACAGCGTGGGCACTGAGATTCCTGCACAATTGTTTGGCGAAACGGCGTAAAGAGAAAAGAAAATCTGGGCCCATCGGAAACGAAGAAATCGTGAAAGCAAAGAATACATGGGTGATAAGGATTCAGAAAAATATTAACCCAACTCTACAAGCACCTGGCTGGAAAATCTTCGAAGATAAGAACACAAACATTCTCAAATGCAGGGGAAGAGTTCGGGGATATACTCCAACATTTGTCGAAAGAGGATTGTTTGCAGAGAAGCTTATCACACATACACACAATCAAATTATGCACCTAGGCGTTGCAAATACAATGGCCGCCTTGCGAGAAAACTGGTGGATCCCTCAACTAAGATCGAAGGTAAAGAAGGTGATAAAAAATTGCAACGTTTGCAAACTGTACTCCACGAAACCATACGGAGCGACAGCGACAAGTAACATGCCTAAATTTAGAACTGAGACCAGCAAGCCATTTGAGATCACTGGCGTGGATTTTGCCGGACCGTTAAGGTACAAGGTCAACAAAAAGGAAGAAGGAAAGTGTTACGTTCTAATCTTTACTTGCGCTGCATGCAGAGCCGTTCATTTGGAACTAACTAAAACTCAAGAAGCTGGTGAATTTCAGCGAAAACTTAACGCATTTATTGCACGTAGAGGAAGACCTCGCTTGATGATTTCCGATAATGCTGCTACTTTCAAAGCGACTGCAAAGTGGACTAAGCTAATTCGAAAAAGTGAGAAGCTTCAGGATTTCCTCACAACCCAAGATATCTATTGGAGATTTAATCTGGCAAAGTCCCCATGGTGGGGAGGCATCTACGAGAGGCTGATTCGTGAAATCAAGAAAACCTTATACAAAACCTTGGGAAAATCACACCTATTCTTTGAAGGTTTGGAATCGGTCGTATTGAACATCGAAAGCAACATGAACAACCGTCCGTTAACTTACGTAGAATGTGATGGTGGGGAGGAACAAGTCCTGACGCCAAACATACTCATTCGGGGAGAAAACTCTTACATGTTCGACGATGTTGAAGATGAAGAAGACGAGCTAACCAAGATGCAAAGAAGACTTAGAAAAGCAAAAGATGATGCATGGAAACGATGGAAGCGGGAATATGTGCATAGTTTACTGGAGAGCCAACGAGTCAATAACAAGGTTGTCGAAGCACCACAGATTGGAGACGTTGTCCTGGTAGTGGGAGAAGAGAAGAACAGGGGAGAATGGAAAAAAGGGAAAGTGCTTCGACAAGTTCGTGGAAAAGACGGTGTAGTCAGAGGAGTTGTGCTGTTGCACAAAGGGCATACTATTGAACGACCACTGCAGTTGATCTGTCCGCTTGAGATTCACTGCACACCAAACGAACGACACAAAGAAGTTGAAGAAAAGGAATCGGAGAAAGAAAAGAGACCTCAGAGACAAGCCGCAAAGAAAGCAATCAAGAAAATAAATGAACTAACGCAGTTGGAAGAGGACTGAACATTTAATATATACGTTGATATTCGGTTTTGAAGCTATAAAAATTAAACTTTAATTTTTAGGGGAGTGTGTACGGAATAGTGGACCCCCCCATATAAGTGACGTAAGCATGATTGACGTTTGTATAAAAGAAACATTAAGAGCATGTTGATGGGGGGTCGTTTATTATTAGATTATGAGAGACGAGACAAAACAAAACAAGTGATTTGTGAGCGTGAGAATTCTATATTTTTATACAAATAAATGTAATTTGTCTTTGTGATTTCTGTGGTTATATACCTGTTTACAATTTAACAAGAGAAGTTCGGTATATAAGTGACGACCCCCCATCAACATGCTCTTAATGTTTCTTTTATGCAAACGTGAATCATGCTTACGTCACTTATATGGGGGGTCCACTATTCCGTACAGCGTGCTATGATTTCTCCAGAGTCCACTCGACCCAGTCTTTCGCGCGATCTATGTATTGTCGAGATCTAGGTTTTGTGTCTGTTTGTCAGGATTTCGTAATTCCGGGAAAATAATTAAAGCTTCAGGAAGTTTTTCTAAACGAGGGAGCGGTCAAACTTTGTTTTGTATTGCGCACGCATGATTCTTCTCAGGTCTCAGGATTTCAGTTACGAGCAATACGAGCTTATTTACATGCAGTTTGTTGGATTTTCACGAATAAATCAGGTGAGGATGGCTTTATATCTTTCTGGTGATATACATGAAGGCATTTATATTCACATGCTGTTTAGTGTTTGATACAGTATAGAGGTATTGAAACAATATGATTTAATAAATTTATGGTCATTTATCGGCAGTTCAGTAATAGCCCAATGATCTATTCGTTAATAATGTATTATTTATACAAGGAGTCAAAATGTACTTTTGGTTTATTTGTTTGTGTGGCGATGCATGGCGTAGAATTCGCGGTCATAAACGCTGTAGAATTTCACTGGAATACTTAAGGTTATAAGGCGTTTTTTGACTAAAGAAAGCACCACCTGAAAATTGTACTGTATCTGAAACAGAAATATGAGGCTTACCTAAAGTTATCAAAAAGTGATTGGCTTCTGTTCCCTCGGGAAATAGTTAGTTTTGTTTTCCCTCGAATCTCAATGTTTCCTCGACTTCGTCTCGGGAAACATTGAGACTTTCGGGAAAACAAAACAAACTATTTCCCCCGGGAGCAGACATTAAATGTATAATATAGGCTGTGCAAATCAAAATTTAATACCAATAGCTATAGGCAAATGTCATGAAATTTTACATATTGTTAAAATCTAAAAACAAACATGTCATAATAATTCGTTTTTAAAACAATTTTCCGAGACATACAGCACTACAGGGTGTATAAAAAAAACTGAACAGATTTGAAATTGCTCTCAATTTTGCAAAACAGCTCGTGGTATCACGTTTTTGTTATATATAGATTCCTTGAGTACCCATAATGTAGAATAATTGTGTAACTCAAATAACTCAAATTGGGTAAACCAGGGGGGTGTTTCTTTTCCAACAAACTAAAAATGGCTTGCGCACGAAATTTAAAAGCTTTAATCGTATTTTGAGTTAATGGATGGAAAATTTGTTGGGTTTTTATTAAGCCATTTAACTATTCATTTTTCCTAAAAAATCAGCCTTTCGCATGCAAGCCTTTACCTAATTTGCATATTGCTGACATAAGGGACCGGTCATAAAGTAACTGCTAGGGTGGGCCGGAGTGATTTGGGATGGGCCATGTATAGTAATGTACGTCTATTAATCATTAACGCACGTATTACGATTAGTTTATATTTAGAATATGGACATTATATATTCAGTTGTTTATATGTAGCCGAAATATCAAGAAGTCTATTAAATAAGAGAATATTATAATGGCGACGAAGATAAAGTAGATAAACGTATTCTATTAAACGAAACGATGGTGGAAGAGCAGGCAGAGCCTCAACCACTACAGCAACCGGCTGTACAGATCATGCAATCTGTAACAATAAATTCGAAATGTATATAACCGCAAGTGGAATAACGGATCCAAAGCGAAAACGTGCACTCTTGCTATATCAAGCCGGACCGAGAGTTCGCGAGATTTTTAAACAAATCCCCGAGACAGGAACTGATACGGACTACGACATCGCGAAACAGAAATTAAAGGCTTACCTCGACCCTCAAAAGAATCGGCGGTACGAAGTTTATCGTTTTAGACAAACAACTCAAGAACACAATGAGACATTAGATCAATTTCACACCAAACTTAGAACAATATCAGAAACCTGTGAATTCGCAGACGTTGAATTTGAAATCGAAGAACAAATCATTATAGGCGGAAATTCATCAAAAATACGAAAGCGAGCACTGCGTGATCCTACATTTGACTTAAAATCATTGCTTTTAGAAGGACGTCGTGACGAACAGAGCAAGTATCAAGCTGAACAAATTGAATCTAAAGAACAAACTGACGGTGAGGCTAATAAATTAGAACAAAAACCTAACAACGGTAATTTTTCGAACAGTAGTAATGTTATTTGCAGAAATTGTGGGCGTGCTTATCCACACACAGGGGCATGTCCAGCGAAAGGAAAAACCTGTAATAATTGTGGAAAACCGAATCATTTCGCTGCTGTTTGTCGAGGAAAACCAAAACAAACGCGATCACCGAGATACACAAATAAAAAGCATGCACAAAGAAATTTAAAAACATTAGATACAGGATCAAACACGAGTTCCGATGAAGACTATTTATATACCATGACAAATACAAAGCACAATAACAAGGTCAATGTTAAAGTAGGCGGTGCCAAATTTCAAACAACAATTGACAGTGGCGCGACAATAAATGTGATCGATCGTGTGACACTTTTAACAAAATGCAAGACATAAAATTAACTCGCACGAACACGAAAGCTTTCGCGTATAATACGAAATCACCAGTTGAATTTTTGGGAAAATTCGAAGACCACCGAATCGATACGGACATGAATATCCATCAAATCTAATAAACTAACATAACAATGAAATAGCTAAATAACTTCAAATTTAATTAAACATTTTGATATTTGACAATCAAGTTAAAACAAAGGGAATGGTATAGTAATGTACGTCTATTAATCATTAACGCACGTATTACGATTAGTTTATATTTAGAATATGGACATTATATATTCAGTTGTTTATATGTAGCCGAGATATCAAGAAGTCTATTAAATAAGAGAATATTATAAAAACCCAACAAATGTTCCATCTATTAACTCAAAATATGATTAAAGCTTTTAAATTTCGTGCGCAAGCCATTTTTAGGTTGTTGGAAAAGACCCACCCCCCCTGGTTCACAAAATTTGAGTTCGAGGAATTTTTGTTCATTATTCTACATTATAAGTACCCAAAGAAGCTATATACATAAAAAATGTATACTAATAGCTGTTTTGCGAAATTGAGAGCAATTTCAAATCTGTTCAGTTTTTTTATACACCCTGTATATATATATATATATATATATATATATATATATATATATATATATATATATATATATATATATATATATATATATATATATATATATATATATGGAATTGTATAAATATGTATATAAATTGTAGTGGTAGTATGTTGCACTGGTAAAAATCTTTATTTACAGTTTAAAAAACGTAAAATATAAATGAAGCTTTCGGACTAAGCGTCCATCGTCAGGATTAAAATGGCAAAAATGATTAGTCGCTTAAATACTATTTACATGTTAATGACCTAACTAAAATATTAGGTTTTTGAATAATTAGACTAAAGACAAAAGAGTCATAATAGAGTCATATAAGCGTAATATAGAGTCAACAAAAGAGCCATAATAAGACACTGGATAAAAGAGTCATAATAGCGTATTATAGCGTCAACAAAGCATTATTTAGTCTTTATCAATTAGCGTTCTAAAAACTTCCGGCAATGTTCTGCCATTGTCTCTATTGGCAATGGCACTCTTCTCATTTTCCATAATCCAGGCTTCCTTCCATTTTCTATGCGACCACAGACTTTCCTTACATACTACCTTGGTATCATCCCACACAATGCGATGATCATTGTCAACTACATGTTCTGCCAAAGCTGAGTTTTCCACCTTCCCATTCTTTACACTTGCATGATGTTCTTTTATTCTTGTTCCTAATGCATGACCCGTTTCACCAATATATTTAACATCACAATCCTGGCAAGGGATGGAGTAAACGACGCCTGTTTGATCTAAGTGAGGTAACTTATCTTTGGGCTTCATTAAATAATTTCTAAGCGTTGAAACCGGTCTTATTGCAACATTAATATTATGTCTCTCTAATACTCTCTTTATTTTCTCTGTAGTTCCTTGAACAAAAGGAAGTACTGCCATACCTCTCGCCATTTCCGTTTCTACTGCCTCATTATTATCCATATCAGCTTCTTTCTGTTTCATCTTTCTCCTGACCTTCAATAAAAAATCTTTGGGATAACCATTATTCTGTAAAGATTCAAAAACATGTTTCTCCTCTTTTCTTCGACTCGCTTCGTCTGAACTAACTTTGTCTGCTCTGTAGTACAACGACTTGGCAACGGATGTTTTATGTTGGAGAGGATGATGTGACGAGAAGTTCAGGTATCGGTCCGAATGTGTTGCCTTTCTATAAACCGACGTCTTAATGGACCCATCTGACTCAACAACATTTAACGTATCCAGAAATGGTATACCCCTGTCCTCATAATGTTCGATGGTAAACTGTATATGAGGATTTTGCGAGTTTAAGTGTTTATGGAAATCATTAATACTAGACTTCTTTACCGCCGAAAGTGTATCATCAACAAACCTATAATACATCCTTGGACGTTGTGGGAAGGTATCTAATGCTTTAGTCTCCAGGTGTTCCATTACTAGATTTGCCACCACGACTGACACTGGCGAACCCATCGCAATTCCGTGAATTTGTTTGTAAAAATTTCCCCGGAATTGAAACTCCGTCGAATTCAAACAAAAAGCCAATAGTTCAATAATATCTTGAGGCATAAGCGATGTCCTTTCCCTTAGAGTAGGGTCGTTCTCCAATCTATTCAAAGCAACATCTAACGCAAGGTCGGTAGGAATCGAGGTAAATAGAGATATAACATCAAATGAAATAAGCTCCTCATCATTGTTCAATTTCCATTGTTTAGCTTTATTTACCCACTCGTACGTATTGCGGATATGATATTCAGTCTTACCAACCAAGGGTGAAAGAATCAGCGATAAATACTTAGATAATTGGTATGTCGTGGATCCGGAAAAACTGACTATCGGTCTCAAAGGGTTATTATTCTTATGGATCTTAGGCAACCCGTATATCCTCGGTGTTGGGCCGTCAGTTGTCTTCAACTTCTTAAGTAATTTATCATCCATTCTCTCCGCTTTTGATGAGAGAAGCTTTTAAACTATAAATAAAGATTTTTACCAGTGCAACATACTACCACTACAATGAAACTTCCTGGTAACATAACCACACTAAATTATATATATAAAGATTATGGAAAAGTGTTATTTCAGTCCGCTCGAAAACTGTTTACTGTTAATGCAAATTTAGTTAAGCAAAGATGCCATCTACACTTCAACCATCGCTGTAAAGATTTGAACGTTCTTCCGCCATCATTACGAGTAAAGCCTGCAGTAAATACGGTAAAAGGTCATGCTTTAGCGCGACAATATGGTCAGAATATGTTGAGGTTGCGAATTACAGAAAACCATCAGCGCATTCGCAAGTTTGAGAGGGACCTTATGCCACTTGAGAATACAATCAGGAATACGCGTGGAGAGCGATTATGGCGTAGACTTCAAAGAGAACTCGTTGGCTATTTGGGAGATCTGAAGGCAACAACAATCGAGAAGCATCAAACTAAACTTAAAAATTGGCAGAAGGTAAAAAGCAACGAAGCGAGATATGTAAATCGGGAATCGAAATGGCTTGTAAACCTTTCTACTAAGTCATTCACTACAGATGAGGTTTCTCTTCTGTGTAAGGATTTGAAGTTTGCCCCAACACCTAGAAAAATACCCACTATGGATATGATAGCTGAAATTGAAAATGCTATTTGGAATTTGGATGATCTAAGCAAAGCGGAAATAAGAATGGAAACGAGCAACAGTCTGAAAAGAGCGAGGCTTCCGAAGGATAATATGTCTAAGGTAGAACGACAAACTTTAAAGGGTTTGCAAGCAGATGAGAGTATTATCATTCTGAAGGCTGATAAAGGCAATAGAACTGTAGTAATGGACCGGACGGAGTATGACGAGAAGATATTGAACATGCTAAATGACCAACAGACGTACAAGAAGCTCGAGAAGGACCCAAGGAATGTATGTGAAAAAGAGATGAAAAAGCTTCTCTCATCAAAAGCGGAGAGAATGGATGATAAATTACTTAAGAAGTTGAAGACAACTGACGGCCCAACACCGAGGATATACGGGTTGCCTAAGATCCATAAGAATAATAACCCTTTGAGACCGATAGTCAGTTTTTCCGGATCCACGACATACCAATTATCTAAGTATTTATCGCTGATTCTTTCACCCTTGGTTGGTAAGACTGAATATCATATCCGCAATACGTACGAGTGGGTAAATAAAGCTAAACAATGGAAATTGAACAATGATGAGGAGCTTATTTCATTTGATGTTATATCTCTATTTACCTCGATTCCTACCGACCTTGCGTTAGATGTTGCTTTGAATAGATTGGAGAACGACCCTACTCTAAGGGAAAGGACATCGCTTATGCCTCAAGATATTATTGAACTATTGGCTTTTTGTTTGAATTCGACGGAGTTTCAATTCCGGGGAAATTTTTACAAACAAATTCACGGAATTGCGATGGGTTCGCCAGTGTCAGTCGTGGTGGCAAATCTAGTAATGGAACACCTGGAGACTAAAGCATTAGATACCTTCCCACAACGTCCAAGGATGTATTATAGGTTTGTTGATGATACACTTTCGGCGGTAAAGAAGTCTAGTATTAATGATTTCCATAAACACTTAAACTCGCAAAATCCTCATATACAGTTTACCATCGAACATTATGAGGACAGGGGTATACCATTTCTGGATACGTTAAATGTTGTTGAGTCAGATGGGTCCATTAAGACGTCGGTTTATAGAAAGGCAACACATTCGGACCGATACCTGAACTTCTCGTCACATCATCCTCTCCAACATAAAACGTCCGTTGCCAAGTCGTTGTACTACAGAGCAGACAAAGTTAGTTCAGATGAAGCGAGTCGAAGAAAAGAGGAGAAACATGTTTTTGAATCTTTACAGAATAATGGTTATCCCAAAGATTTTTTATTGAAGGTCAGGAGAAAGATGAAACAGAAAGAAGCTGATATGGATAATAATGAGGCAGTAGAAACGGAAATGGCGAGAGGTATGGCAGTACTTCCTTTTGTTCAAGGAACTACAGAGAAAATAAAGAGAGTATTAGAGAGACATAATATTAATGTTGCAATAAGACCGGTTTCAACGCTTAGAAATTATTTAATGAAGCCCAAAGATAAGTTACCTCACTTAGATCAAACAGGCGTCGTTTACTCCATCCCTTGCCAGGATTGTGATGTTAAATATATTGGTGAAACGGGTCGTGCATTAGGAACAAGAATAAAAGAACATCATGCAAGTGTAAAGAATGGGAAGGTGGAAAACTCAGCTTTGGCAGAACATGTAGTTGACAATGATCATCGCATTGTGTGGGATGATACCAAGGTCGTATGTAAGGAAAGTCGGTGGTCGCATAGAAAATGGAAGGAAGCCTGGATTATGGAAAATGAGAAGAGTGCCATTGCCAATAGAGACAATGGCAGAACATTGCCGGAAGTTTTTAGAACGCTAATTGATAAAGACTAAATAATGCTTTGTTGACGCTATAATACGCTATTATGACTCTTTTATCCAGTGTCTTATTATGGCTCTTTTGTTGACTCTATATTACGCTTATATGACTCTATTATGACTCTTTTGTCTTTTAGTCTAATTATTCAAAAAACCTAGTATTTTAGTTAGGTCATTGACATGTAAATAGTATTTAAGCGACTGATCATTTTTGCCATTTTAATCCTGACGATGGACGCTTAGTCCGAAAGCTTGATTTATATTTTACGTTTTTTAAACTGTAAATAAAGATTTTTACCAGTGCAACATACTACCACTACAATGAAACTTCCTGGTAACATAACCACACTAAAATATTCAAAGTGTCTATACAGCCGGCTATTTAGTAAACTGTCACTTGTCAATCCATACTCATCGAATTTTCAAAACTTTATTGTGATCATATGAAGCAAAAGTTCTGTCACTTGTTGTTTACACTTGCCAATGTTAACTGTTGAGTAACATACAAACTATTCGAGGAACATGCATTACTGTAGCAAAGAGTCAATCATATATCGAAGACCATGCACTGAATAGTAGAGAATGTTTTGAAGGTCATGAGTGAAGTATATAATTCAATTCCAACCATGTGCACAGTTAATGATATACCACACTGTTTTAACTCAGCATATCCACACAAAAACAATTTGTGTTGTGGGAAAATATCTGTTTGAGTAGAAGGTATCACAAGTTTAGTTTTGTACATTGTGTGCCATTGATCTGATCCATCCATATAATATATGATTATTGTAGCTGTTAAGTTATTTTCCATACTGATGAATTTAGGTAAGATTGTCTTGCAAGTGGGTTGTTCTGACAAAATTATCCAGCCAATATCCAGTAGATCAGTACATGTATTCATTATTCTTGTATTAATCTCTAAACAAAAACATTTATATAAGAAAGCAAAATGACAATGTAATGAGAGGGAGGGTGGGGATTCTTTTATTAGCAGTTGAAAATGGTTGTAACAATTTTGTTTAATTAACTCTATTGTGTAAAGCCAAAATGTATAAGTATAATTTTAACTGATGACATCTTTACCTTTGCTCTAATACTACATTTGATGACAACTTAGTTGGACTGTTGTACGTTTGAACAGAGGTACAGAAATACAGGACCAGGATTTAATTCAATATCTCCTGAGAACATTAGTTTCTTGTGATATTTTTAATTGGCAATATAATGCCTGCAGCCAGAGTTTTGACTGTTTAAAGTATTTATACACAATGATTGTTTTTATACTGTATAAATGTATATAATAAAATATGTGGTATTTGGCTACTTACCAGATAAGGATAAGTTTCCATGTTGATAGATAACATTGGAATAATATCACAAGTAGAATGGTGAAAACAAGACAGCCAATTCAAGATAAAATCAAGATGTTTTGAAGCCAAAATATGGCAAAGAATAACACGAGTACATTACACGAGGCCAAACTACGCCCGTTCGCAGGTTAGGTGCGAGCACGATGTAAACAATTGATGTAAGCTAATAGCTGATTGGCTTAATTATATAAGCTCGTCGCTGAATGACTATGGGTAATGTTAATACTAATCTGCTTCGCAGAGACAAAAATAAAGATATACACCGGCACTGTATTGATATATGTTCATACCTGCAAGTTTTTTTCATTATAAAAGTGTATTTTCGCAATTTAGATGGGGTGGGTGGGTCATGAAATAAATTTGGTAAGATTGGATGGGCTTTGAAATTTTTATCTACATCCTAAGATGGGTCACCAAACTTATTGGCAAAATTTGTGATTTACCTCCAGCCCACCCTAGCAGTTACTTTATGACCAGTCCCCAAGCAAATTAGGAAAAGTTAAGCCAACCTCCGTCGCAGGGACTTTCCATCGGCTGGGAAAGACCCTGCTATCGGCTGGTCACGTGTCTCCCAGAATCTGGGAGATAACAAAATAATTTAATTAGGGTGGGTAACTAAGTACGTTTTGTCATTGAGCAAGGAGTGAGCGAAGAAATAACGCAGAAATCATGCAGGAAATATTTACAAAATTGTATATTTTATTTTGTCATGAATACTATCAATGTTACACAATAATGAATATCAAATTTCATTGTGCGCAGAATGTCGGTGAGCAAAGATAGATCAGATTTCAATAGACAAATTTGCCGATACAGCTCGTCGAAGAGATCAACACGTCGCAAACGTTACAAGAAAATATATTTCTACACCGGTACCGAGGGATGTGGCTGTTATTTAGCTGTTGATGTGACATCTATCCTAAAGGATTTATTTAATACTGAGATGTGTAACGAAATATAGAGATCTTTTGATTTCTGAAATATTGCAAACAATGTTGCTTGTAAACAATGCTACTCGGACTGCTGAAACTTCAGAACCATCCTCAGAGATACGAAAAACCCGAATCTGTTGAAACTTGATGCTCAAGAAATATGTCGAAGTATACCTAAAATAATCCGACAATAGCCTACTCAAAGATAAGTCAAAGACTCGTTTGTGCGTGTATGTTTATACAAATACAAATACGAATACTGTTATGTTTGACATTTTATAGGACATTTAGAGAATGCAGTCCGCATGATAAATTCGATAAATAGCTTTAATTGTGACATTAGCTTTACTGTAATCAAGTATTTTGTGAAATATAATACTGAATCAAACTCTAAGACTATGTAAGTGTTATAAATATATTGATGACTGAGTGTGAATGTGATATCAGTGTTTATGCCGTGGTTTATGCCGTTGTTTATTCCGTGGTTTATGGAATTATCTACTGACTATGTTCATATTATAAAGTGTGTACTGTATATCAGAAAAATACTGTTATAAATATTGCTGTTACCCCATTACTTAGTGCATGGAGGCCAAAAAATTATCAGGCTAAAGCCGTGATTGTATATACAACCTGATGATACACGCCCTGAGGCTGAAAATTGTTGTACTTTACTACCTGCCAACCTCCTACCCTACCGATCTACAGGGTTTTTTAATAAATATGACGAACTATGTAATTAAAAGTATTTTCAAAGGTAAATCATCGACAGTTTTAAAGTGAGCATTTCAGTCTCTGTTCGGCAGTGTCCACATGTTTACATTGCGATTTGTGACAAAAAGTTAATTACATCTCAAAATTTTATCAACCTTCACTATAAAATGAGACGCGTACTATTAGTAAATCTGCACAAAGTTTATCAACGTTTTCAAACAACAAATCTAATGGCATATTTTCGGAACAGATAAAAGTGAAAATGTACAAACGTTGACGACTGACCAGTTCGGATATGAAAATATGTCTCAAGAGAATACCCAAGTACCCAACTTCAAAGTTTAAAGAATACATTTTATTTGTTTCTTGACTTGACTGTTGATAAAATGCCACAGTGTTTTTGTAATTTAAAAGCAAACGGAGGAATAAAATATAAGTTAGCGGGCGCTTCGAACTATATATCGTAAAATCCCACTCCTGGTATTTGAAATTTAACGTTTTCTGTGGAAGCATGTAATTTGATACTTTGCCACTCCCCCTTGGGCAATCAATTTTTGTAGAGTCACGTGACCAGCCGATACCAGGGTCTTTCCCAAAAAGACCCTGGGTACGAGGATGAAGTTAAGCATGCAAAAGGCGGAATAGTCAAAGGCTTAAACTGAAGCAAATTGTCTGAAATTTCGTGCAGCAATTAAACACCCAACACATATTTCACCCAGTAGGGACTGGTCATAAAGTAATTGCTAGGGTGGGCTGGAGGTAAATCACAAATTTTGCCAATAAGTTTAGTGACCCATCTTAGGATGTAGATAAAAATTTCAAAGCCCATCCAATCTTACCAAATTTATTTCATGACCCACCCACCCCATCTAAATTGGGAAAATACACTTTTATAATGAAAAAAACTTGCAGGTATGAACATATATCAATACAGTGCCGGTGTATATCTTTATTTTTGTATCTGCGAAGCAGATTAGTATTAACATTACCCATAGCCATTCGGCGACGAGCTTATATAATTAAGCCAATCAGCGATTAGCTTACATCAATTGTTTTAGTCTTAGCCAGCCTACCGTCCAGCCGTCATTTGGACGGCCATTTTCAAATTTGGACGGCCTTCTAAAAAAGACGGCTTTTGGACGGTAAACATAAACATTGCTCACTTGCAAGCTGCCAAATCTGTCAAACCAAAGATTCCTAGGCCTAGCTGCCAAAAACCGTAGAATATAACTATATAAGATAATTAGTTGCTTTGTGTTGTTTTTTGGTTGTGTTCTTCACTCACACTATAGCTTATCAAAGCTGCAAGTACTGAAGTACTGTATTTATAGCATGAAAGTGACAACATAATATCATATTTTTCTGTGTTGGTATTGTGTACTCAGGTGAATAATATGTTTGCGATGTTACTCTGAGTGCATATCCACACCGGGCGAGCTTGAAAAATATGCCCGGCCACGGTGGGATTCGAACCTACGACCTTTGGAATACCAGCCCAATGCTCTTCCAACTGAGCTACGCGGTCAGGACGGTTCGAGTAAGTGATATTTCGGAATCTAGTTCCTTCAATACCAATGTGTTCTAGTAATATGAATATTTTTCTGTGTTGGTATTGTGTACTCAGGTGAATAATATGTTTGCGATGTTACTCTGAGTGCATATCCACACCGGGCGAGCTTGAAAAATATGCCCGGCCACGGTGGGATTCGAACCTACGACCTTTGGAATACCAGCCCATCGCAAACATAACATAATATCAATCATAAGATTAATATATTGGCAGATTTACTTAAACTGTACTACTGTAGTCAGTGTAGTGAGTAGTCACATAGTCTGAATAATTGAATATATTATTAGTTTTTTTGAGCGATTCTCAAGTGCGGTCACAGATTACTCCCAGCATGCGGAAATAATCACATTGAATTACTGGTGCATGAAGTGGTGCCATGGTTCCATATGGAAAAATATGGGTGTCATAAATGAAATTTCAAATTTGGACACCCAAGTTGCAAATCCTGGCTAAGACCCTGATTGTTTACACCGTGCTCGCACCTAACCTGCGAACGGGCGTAGTTTGGCCTCGTGTAATGTACTCGTGTTATTCTTTGCCATATTTTGGCTTCAAAATATCTTGATTTTATCTTGAATTGGCTGTCTTGTTTTCACCATTCTACTTGTGATATTATTCCAATGTTATCTATCAACATGGAAACTTATCCTTATCTGGTAAGTAGCCAAATACCACATATTTTATTATATACATTTATACAGTATAAAAACAATCATTGTGTATAAATACTTTAAACAGTCAAAACTCTGGCTGCAGGCATTATATTGCCAATTAAGAATATCATAAGAAACTAATGTTCTCAGGAGATATTGAATTAAATCCTGGTCCTGTATTTCTGTACCTCTGTTCAAACGTACAACAGTCCAACTAAGTTGTCATCAAATGTAGTATTAGAGCAAAGATAAAGATGTCATCAGTTAAAATTATACTTATACATTTTGGCTTTACACAATAGAGTTAATTAAACAAAATTGTTACAACCATTTTCAACTGCTAATAAAAGAATCCCCACCCTCCCTCTCATTACATTGTCATTTTGCTTTCTTATATAAATGTTTTTGTTTAGAGATTAATACAAGAATAATGAATACATGTACTGATCTACCGAATATTGGTTGGATAATTTTGTCAGAACAACCCACTTGCAAGACAATCTTACCTAAATTCATCAGTATGGAAAATAACTTAACAGCTACAATAATCATATATTATATGGATGGATCAGATCAATGGCACACAATGTACAAAACTAAACTTGTGATATCTTCTACTCAAACAGATATTTTCCCACAACACAAATTGTTTTTGTGTGGATATGCTGAGTTAAACCGAACAGTGTGGTATATCATTAACTGTGCACAGGGCTGGAATTGAATTATATACTTCACTCATGACCTTCAAAACATTCTCTACTATTCAGTGCATGGTCTTCGATATATGATTGACTCTTTGCTACAGTAATGCATGTTCCTCGAATAGTTTGTATGTTACTCAACAGTTAACATTGGCAAGTGTAAACAACAAGTGACAGAACTTTTGCTTCATATGATCACAATAAAGTTTTGAAAATTCGATGAGTATGGATTGACAAGTGACAGTTTACTAAATAGCCGGCTGTATAGACACTTTGAATATTGTTTGCATAATTTTTTATTTCCTGACTGCATAATTATCCGTTACAAGCATAATCACATTATAAAATTAGTTAAATTTTAGGGGGGGGGGCAGTTGTCCCTGCTGCCCTCTGTGCAGTGTACAGCCCTGTTAGATTTGTATTATGTTTGATTTTAAAATCTTATTTGCTATTATATTTATCATAATATAAATTAAGTGATGAAAGCAGGGGAGCTTGTAAAAGTTAGGGGGCGCCACCATGGTTGGCACTGAAGCCCCCCTGGCTTCCTACGCCCCTGGATGAAAGTAGACATGGGTTTTTGTTTGGTGGCCCAACCGTAGACATACAAAATAATTGGCGGCCCATCGAAACTGCACAAAGATTTTCCATGGCCCATCCCAAATCACTCCGGCCCACCCTAGCAGTTACTTTATGACCGGTCCCTTAATTCAAAATATGATTAATTAAAGGTCCAGACGCACCGGACGCGATTCGACAACGCGACGCGATTTTTCGATTTTCACTGACCGATAACTTTCATTCTAGTTTAAATTTTTTCAAATATTTAGAAGCGGTATAACATTTTGAGTTATTTGGTCTACATATCTTTCAAAATTTGCTCTCATTGGCTGTTTTATTAACTTTCAAAAATTAAAAAATCGCGTCGCGCTATCGAATCGCGTCCGGTGTGTATGGACCTTAAAGCTTTTAACTCTTGTGCGCAAGCTACTTTTAGTTTGCTGGAAAAGACACACCCCTAGCTGGTTTACAAAATTTGAGTTCGAGAAATTTTTTTCATTATTCTACAGTACCCAAAGAAGCTATATATAACAAAAACTGGATACTACTAGCTATTTTGCGAAATTAAGAGCAATTTCAAATCTGTTCAGATTTTTTTATACACCCTGTAGAGACGTGTTGTTTCGCTGTTTAAGCTGTTTGATTGATAGGTCGAAACTGACACGTTCGTTGGTAAGAGCTAACCTGCGCGTTTGAAACGTAAATTAAGACTGTTATAATAACAACACTGTAAAAACTGATAGGTTAAAATAACCTATTTGTAAAGGTTGTCACTTATATAAATAGGTTGTTTTAACCAATTGAATAGGTTATAACCAAAATAAATAGGTTAAAATAACCAATTATTTTTTGGTTGATCTCGAACATTTCGGTACAACTAATATAAATACGTTAATTTGACCAATTGACCAAAGTAAATAGGTTAAAATAACCAATTATTTTTTGGTTAATCTTGAACAATACAACTAATATAAAAACAAGTGAAAGAAACTCTAAAGATCGATAACATTTTTATATTTATGAATGGAGTTTCATTTGTTTTGTATTTTGTAAAATACTCAGTTGTTCTAAAAATTATTGTAGTTTAATAGGTTGTTATCTTGGGTGTTTAGCCGATACTGATAACAATAGCCAGGTTGTTTTAAATATTTTTATAATACTCATTCATAATACATAAACTTTGTACCTGGCAAATAATGTCAACCATTAATGAATTAAATTTTAATTATAAGCCAATAATAATTGCTCAAAAGACAAAACAGTTATAGGCAATTATAGGCAATATTAGTTCAGTACATCATAATCATTGTTAATAAAATTAGAAAATGCATCTTATTTTTTACATATTTATACTGATTATAGTATACTATATACAACACTGTACAGATCTAACATTGAATTGTTTATCACAGTCATTTCAACATATAGTATATGCATTCATGCAGGAACCACACCACCATAAATCATCTTTTAATCTCCACGACTCCACATTTGGGGTGGAGGGGAGGGGGTAGGCTGGCCATTTATGGGAATGAATAGTGAAAAGAGGTGGGGTTTTAGCATTTAGCAATTGACATGAATATACAGTTACCTAAAAAAATACACTTTAATAGTGGTCTGTCATAAAGTCATAAACTAAGTTTATAGTGATCTAATATATTTTCAGCAAAATGTCCTGGGGAGGGCATGTGGGGAGGTCTAGTCTCCAGATTGTTATCTTGGGTGTTTAGCCGATACTGATAACAATAGCCAAGTTGTTTTAAATATTTTTATAGATATACTCATTCATAATACATAAACTTTGTACGTGGCAAATAATGTCAACCATTAATGAGTTAAATTATAAGCCAATAATAATTGCTCAAAAGACAAAACAGTTATAGGCAATTATAGGCAATATTAATTCAGTACGTCATAATCTTTCACTTTGTTAATAAAATTAGAAAATGCATCTTATTTTTTACATATTTATACTGATAGTATACTATATACAACACTGTACAGATCTAACATTGAATTGTTTATCACAGTCATTTCAACATATAGTATGCATTCATGCAGGAACCACACCACCATAAATCGTCTTTTAATCTCCACGACTCCACATATTTGGGGGGGGGGTAGGCTGGCTATTTATGGGGAAGAAAAGTGAAAAGAGGTGGGGTTTTAGCAACATGAATATACAGTTATACTACAACTTTAATAGTTGGTCTGTCATAAAGTCATAAACTGAGTTTCTAGTGATCTAATATATTTTCAGCAAAATGTCCTGGGGAGGGCATGTGGGGAGGTCTAGTCTCCAGAACTAAAATATTTAAAATATGTATGTACCTTATATTGCGTCGTAAATTCTTTAATTATTGGCATGCAAGGAAGATATAACAAGACAGCTAGAATTTTGAAGATGGAATTAAGAGTTTCTGTCAAAAAACAGAGATACAGGATTATTTGCACTGGATTGTTCACATTATTGAGATCAGTGCGTTCAGTCAATCGCGTTGCCAAATATGGGCTCCCATAAGGCTTAGCGAGCACACTCCGAGCGCGTCCTTTGGAAATTTTATTTTAACGTCGGTTGATATAGCCAAGATTTTTTAACATATTGAAGAAAATAAGAAGTAATACTCCAATTTTTGAAGATAAAGACAATAATTTTAAATGTAAGTGTTCAACTATGTCAATATTTTTAAGTTTCGTGTGTAAATATGTGCCATAAATAGTAATATATTCATGTATATTTTAACCGCCGTGCGTTGGCGGCATGTATATTTGTGTGAAAGGTTCAACAATATATTGTTAATAAAACTTAGTGATATTGCCTTGTATATTTGCAGATTATATTTTCAAGCAATTAATAATGCCATAATATGTGATCTAAGCAAGTCGAACTGTCGAAAACATGATATATACAGGCTACAAGAAGGTACGAAATATACAGTAGAATCAGTAGATAGAACAAAGGTAGGATTGTTCTCTCCGAGGGGCATTTCACTCGAAAAAAGCGTACGGGATTTTCGGATTTTTAAAAATCCGCGGATTTTTTAGCGGATTTAGCGGATTTTTCCCGGATTTTTGAAGAGAAAATTTGCTGGATTTTCCGGATTTGTTCGGATTTTCCGGATTTGTTCGGATTTTTTCTGGATTTTTGAAAATCTGTTGGATTTTCCGGATTTGTTTGGATTTTCTGGATTTGTTCGGATTTTTTCTGGATTTTTTTTAATTATAGAGTTATAGAGCTGGGTAACGTTTTGAACAAATAATCTTAAGTTGTACGATGTCAACGTTATGCCAAGACGTCAGGGTCGAGCAGAGGACTGGGACTATGACCACAGCCTTCTGAAACTAACGAAGGCTGGGCATGCAGTCATTTTGTTTAAAATTCAAACAAGTTCATTATTCTTTCAAAAACAGTAAAAGACAATGGTGAATAACTTTTGGTTTTGTAATTATATTTTACAACATAACGTCATTGTAGCAAGAACACATATTTAGTAGTAATAGGCTAAAAAAACTTAGCGTATACTCGAGCGTATAAATGGAAATGTAGAGTGGTCCAATAATTACGAAATATAATGACAGAGATCACGGTAAGCGTTTAGCTTTCGCTGTCCGCAATTTTGAACGTGGCAAAGAACCTTTACGAGTAAATTATACACCAAGTACTTCATATATTTTTGTGGATTTGCGGATTTTTTAAGGATTTTGAAGGATTTCTGTGGATTTTTGAAGGATTTCTGTGGATTTTTGAAGGATTCAACGGATTTTGATGGATTCAACGGATTTTGAGGATTTCATGGATTTTTTTTCTGGATTTTTTCCGGATTTTTTGACGAAGTGTACGGGATTTTTGGAGTGAATTGCCCCTCGGTTCTCTCATACAAAGCTAGACTGCTAGAGAACTTGCTTTGGCGATTATATCAATATTAGCTAAGTGAGTCAATATTGATACCCTCTCAATACGTTGACAATGTAAATATTATATTGTTATAAATGTATTGTCAATTTGTCAGATGTATTGAGAAGGTATCAATACAGTATATTGACTCATTTAGCTAAATTATATTGATTTAAGTTCTATGGCTTTCAGGCTTAATAGGAGAACTATCATTCCTTTGTATTATCTATATTGTGCTATCACAGTAAATAGCTATATCTATATTTAATATCCAGACAATCCCTGACTGTTGCTGAATACATTGAGGATACATTTTTGAGTTTTTCATAGTTTATATGCCTCTGAGAAATCCCAGGCTCACATTTTATGCATGAAGAAACTGTTTAACATTATACATGGAGTTTTCAGCCCGGGCTGAGTTTCAGCCTGGTTAAACGAGCTGAAATTGCATCACGATAAATATTTGCATGGGCAGTTTGAGCTCGGTCTGAGTTTAGTCAGAGCTACAGTATACCGTAAACCTCCGACTATAAGCCCCTCTGAATATAAGCCCCCCATGTATAAGCCCAGGTGTGCCACATGTTTAATTCTTGTTTATGACTGATTTGTTTTATGTCTGACTTGTTTATTACTAACACAAAATATCGTCCATGTATAAGCACCCCCGTATATAAGCCCCCCCCCCCTTGTATAAGCCCATCAAAAATCGCTTATGAAAGTATATAAGCTCAGGGCTTATAGTCGGAGGTTTACAGTAGAGTGTAGCGAAATAGGAGAATAATAATCTATTATGAGAATGAGCCTGTTACACTTCTTTGAAGCATTAAGATGTTGATTAGTTGACTATTTGACATTTGTGAGACTGTGGTTACATGTATAGTATATTTAAAGATGAAACAAACACTCAAAATGAAGCCATTTAAACAGTTTGTATTCTAGCCCGGGCTGGAATTATTTGTGATTACATGCTGCCGGGCTGAAATTTCAGCCTGGGCAGCTCAAACGTGGCTGAATAATCATGTAATAACCACTTGCTATGTTTTAATAGGATTTTATCCTTGGGCCAGGCTGAAACTTAGCCCTGGTAAACTCTCCATGTAATCTGCCCCATAGGGGCCACATCCATATTCATGTTGCCACCAATAACGTCAAATCGGAAGTCAAAATACAACTGAATATCGATCAACATTATCTGGAGTGGGTGGGTGCCATGGATGAAGTGATAACATTGATTCAATGTTATTTGTGGCAACATGAATATTGTGACTTGGCCCTTAAGAGCTGTTAAATTCCCAAGAGCAGAAAATTGTGCACTTTACAAAGATATTTTAATTTCTTAATTTGTCAATATTCATAATATAGTGTATGCAGTGTGCACACTGTCAATATTTTTGCATTCAGCTTAGTACTACACACATAAAAATTGAGAAAATCAACAACTTGTTCCAGGTTGATATCAGCAGGTGTGAACAAGGTTGTGCGGCCCACTATGAACAGTATTGTCAACATGTTGTTACAGCATTGTTCAACTGTAACAACTTGGAACAACATGGTTGACAACTTGTTCATAGTTGGCCGCACAACATTGTTCACGCCTGTCGATATCAACTTGGAACAACCTGTGCGTTTTTAGTCATGTAGGACGTTCAAATTCTAACAATATGGTACATTGTTTCAATACTTTGGGCTTTTTTTTCGGGATACGATGTAGAGCTCAGCTCAGAGCACCTGTCTTGCTATATATAAGAGATATTTACTATATATAAGAGATATTTACTATATATATTGCTATATATAAGAGATATTTACATATTTTTCCTCTGAAAATGTTTCATGGCACTGATAACATGGCATTCTTCCAAAATGTGCCTGTGCTTGGACAAAGGTTTGAAATGAAATATGTATCATGTCCGGACCAGGCATTGAGATAATCTTACTTTCCAGTATATTGGCAGATACCGGATTTGTCCTTTCAACTTTGTGAGCAAGGCTTTGGCAATACGATGTTTAGAGTGAAGTTCTTTCGTATGATTTCAAGTATCTTTTCAAATCAAAGTATTATAAACACCCTCATTTTATAACCAATTAAAATAATTATTTATCTTAAATGAAAGTATAAATCTTATATCAACAGTATCAGTTATTTGGCCTGATATCGTCCAACATATCTGACATACTGACATCTAGCTGAATAGCAAAAGGTTCTATCTTGTGGCCCGTGCAGCCCTAGAAATGACAAGGTGTCCAATTATGACCAATTGTTTTATGCCAGGTATTTCTCAAAGGTAGCCCTCGTTGTGACTGAGAAGAAAATTTAAAAAAGACAAGTGTATAAACTGTATAACTTAAAAATAATGAGTCAGGCTATTTAAGGTTTTTGTGTAACAGTAGGATTGTCTACAAATTAACTTGGACTGTAGAATAATCCCAATTTTTATTTTGTAGCCAACTACTCACCACAGAAAATTACAAATTGGCACAGCAAGGCATGTTCAAGGGAAAACCTGGCATTGTGTACACAGACCCTGAGAGATACCGTACAGCAAGAACTGGTTTAATTTATGGGCTTCAGTTACATACTTCACATTGTAAGTCATTGTGCACAACTTTATAATAGTGTGTGTTAATATTTCTTTGCCATTACAATATAGTGATGTGATTGTGTTCTTATTCGACTGTGTTAACCCATTGAGTTGCATTGTGCCCTACTTTATTATTTTACTTTGTCTAACACCAGACTATTTTACTCGTTAATGGGTATAACTGTCCTATCTGCCCATGTGTCTAGTTAACCCATCGAGTTGCATCGTGCCCTGATGCACCCTATTTTAATGATTATGCTACTCTGTCTAACGCAAGATTATTTCACTATGTCTAATAGACTAATACCAGATTGATTACAGTGATTACAGTTTTTGAAGAAAGAATTGTTTAGTATCCGCACATGGATTAAACCATTAACCTATATTAGGCCACATAAAATAAATTCCTTGATTCTCATCACTACACTTTGAAAATGTCGAAGAGGCGGGAGGTGTATATTTTATATTTATATAATTTAATATATATATAAGGCATATTTCTCCACGAACATTGACTGGCCCTTGAACTGAATGCGAAGTTCCGTTAAAATGCAATGAAATTTCTTTGAAGGTTCTATTTGTTTGAAATTGGCAGTTTAAAATGGCACTAAAAACCCAATATAAAATATAAAAAACTTAACTGTCTTGACATATTTTGTCGGGCGGTACATTTATATTGTGTAACAAAATATAAAAAAAATTCACACAGCTCTTAAAATACAGTTGGGCGGTGATGAGAATCAAGGAATTTATTTTATGTGGCCTTAAGATACTTAATCTATACTAGGTTACCCACTGGGCAGTAATGCTGCCTTTGACAGCAAAAGACAAACTGTACTACAGGGTGTTGAACGAGTTCTTCAGAAACATCCTATTGTTTAGCCTGCATGGCAGGCGGTTCCTAAAATTGGGCAAGTCTTGGAAATACCGCCTGCCATGCAGGCTAATTATTGTTATCCTTGTTAACCCATTTATTGACAGTACCCTACCACAGCTGACTGAGTATTAAAAATCGTCTGGCGTTGGACAGGGTAAATACTAAAGTAGGGGTCATTACTGTGCTGATGAATTAACAAGAGCCATTGGCAGATAGGTTTGTTAACCCATT